AGGAGGACCAGCATGATCAACTTTTGGAAACGAAGTTATCATTCCAACCCCAACTAAAACATTAAGAATAGACATTCTTATTTTAAAAAAGTCTCTAATATTTCCCTCAGAATCATAGTATGATGTAACTCCTGAAATACGAAACAGAAAAGGAAATAAGTTACCATATCCAAGACAATCCCATCTACAAGATGCATTTGTCATATTGTTGATACTACAATCATTAGTATATTATAATCATTATAAAAGTTTCACAACCAAGTTTTAGATGTTCTTTTCTTATTGAGGAAGATATTAGAGTTCACATATTTTGCTAGACTGACACTATTATTACCTTGGATTGCACATATTTAGCTCACTGCCAGCAAATCAACTTTCCATGCACATAAAATGCACAAAACTTCTTACATCAGATTCCCAATATCATAACAGTTGTGGCAGTTCAAGCCCTCAGTTAGGCCATCTCCATTAAACATGTTTCCTCAAACAAATCAATGGATGCTGGAGAAATACAAAATCAACTGTTGCTAAATGAATAATGACATATCATCTAGCTATTCATAGTTTTTTGAATTCCATTGCCTACCTAAACTTTCATCAATTCCCGAGTTTTGTTTAAAAGAAGTAAAGAAAGGGCAAAACTTAAGACGTGTACGTGTCATGTGGTTCAGCAACCCACATGGCTCCCCATCAGGGGTGTGCACAGGGCAAAGAAAACCCCAGGATCTGTAAACCAAAAAAGAAAGGTAAAATTTTATATATCTAACTTTGTTGATCACAACAGCTTAAAGATAGGCATAGAAGCTGTTGTATTAATTGGTAAGTGGAGACAAACTCTACGATGAACAGCTCAAAAAAATAAAATAAAATGTAGGTAATTAAGCCTCTCTGCCTGAACTGTGTAACCAGCCCTCTAGTGAAGAAAAAAAGTAAATTCATTAATGATTTCCCCACCACTACAAAAATAATAGAAAGATGTATGATTCTAAACGTAGCTGAGGTAGGTAACAGCAAGGCCAATAATACCACCAAAATCACTGCTAATATGCCCCCATCATTACTTTGAAAGAAAAAAAATATATATGTTTGAACCAATTTCCGTGCAACTTGTTCAGTGTTAGAAAAAGTTTTTTAAGCACAGAATCTAGCAGAGAAGTCAAACCTATTTAGCTAAGAGCCATGCTTTGATAATTTTATATGTAACATCAGCATGTTAACAAATTTATACATTTTGATTTTTTTGCAGTTTGCACCACATCACATCTTCATTCACCAGAAACCTTTTTCTGTCCTCCCCTATAATCTCATCTTCATACAGATAGGTGAATTTATGAACAATATCGAGTATTATGAATCATCTGTCTTTCCATGACTTCAAAAAAGATTTAATCTACATAGTATGTTGATAAATCTTAAACAGCATCAAACAAAAGAGTTTGTTATTCCACCTAATTAGTCATTGCATGTACACTAGGCATAAAAAACTTCTATGAAAATCTTGAAATCATTAATGTCAGTAAGATTATTAGAGATTCATTTCTCATCCAAACAAGCACAAACATGTTCAGTGTAAATGGTATGTAATTCAATAGTTTATGTTTCATGGATCCTGTTTTAACAGTCAAAAAGTTTTGAATGAAAAGAATGGCACTGACCTGCTGTAAATCTAGGCCTGTCTGCGTAAGCATTCTTCCGGTTTTCAACATATTCTCAACTGATAAACTGATTAGCTTTGAAGGATTTTTATCCATTACCTTCTTGACATCTAGTACTGCATCATCTCAGGCACAACACATTAATGTCAGTTGGGAGGAATAACATGCACCAAATTTTGACAATTTCATATACAGAATTTGAGAAACCTTTAAACAGCAAACTTAGAAGAAGCAAAACATCAGACACTGAACAAAAGCAAGGCAACAAAATAACATACCACTGAAGAAATCGAACTGTTTGCTTGTGTTATTAATCTCATCTTGAAGAAGCCTTTTTGAGTTGCATAACCAATCTTCCAGTTTCTCCTGGAAACCACATAAATCAGGCAACAAAATAACATACCACTGAAGAAATTGATCCCAAAAATGGAACTAATACATTAAAGAAAAGATATTCTGCTGGTGTGAAGGTAAAAGTAAAAGAAGAACAATGTCTGTAATCTTGATCACCAACAGGCAAAAAGCATCATAGGAGATTTAAAAGAATAAAAAAAAGGGTACACAAGCTTCGTTGACCTTGACCGCCTACCACAATAAAATTTCAAGCAAAAAACAATTGAGAAGTTTCTGCTAAAAAGTCTCTACCTTGAGGTAAATAGTAATGATACGACCAGGCAGTAAAGATATTCATGTAGATTTCACGTTAGAGCCAGAAAATAAAGGCCTTGGATTTTCATATTTACTGTCAAATGTTGCAGATATGGTCTTATATTATAACAATTTTTTTTTGGGGTACAATTTTATAAAAATAATAATAATAAACAGAAGATATTTTGCATGTCAAACATGATGTAAAGAGAAGCAGATTACTCACCCACCCATTGCTGGAGACTCTTCTCTGAAAGAAGAGTCTTTGACTAAATTAAAAATGAAATAAAGTCAGCCATCAAAATAAGCATTGAGCAAAATAATAAAGATAATAGCGATGAAAAATAAAAAATCCTAAGGTATGCAGACAAAGTCTCACCAAACATATATACAATATACTAACCTTTAGCATTATTGGAAATTGGCCAAAATTGAAGTTTTCTCTAATAACAGCTCCACCATCCCATTGAAAGCAAACATCCCCGTATACGAAACTTTAGCTTGTCTACACTGTTTACAAAAAGAGAAAGGATTTCAACCCAGAAATGAGAAAAACCATGCAGTAGATCAATCAAAGAATTCATACACAAGCACAGCATGAAACTTTACTTCAAATGGGTAAAGACGGACGCCCATTGCCCTGGAAGCTCGTTCCTTTTGAGGCTCTTTTATCTCAGGATTATCAAACCATAGTAAAAT